AAGAAATTTCTGTATTTATGTCTGTTATGAAAGACTTTTTTCAACTGTTTAAAAAATTATGTATTAAATGTATACAGAGTTCTTATTTTATAGGTTGTATACAAATGAGTAAAATGTGTAAAGCATGTACTGTACATTCACATAGTCAGGGCCACAACTAACAGTCAGCCATCAAAAAATGGATATTAAAGTAAATATTTAAAACCTTGGTTGGCAGTGCTTAATTTCTTAAAATATATAAAAACATCGCAAATATCTTTGCTTTTTTGGACTATCACTGGTGTAAACAATGGAAAGAAAGGGAAGACATTTGCAATATTTTTATATTTTTAAAAAAAAATGGATATTAGAGAGGTTGCAGCCGACATTTTCATCGGAAAAACGTGTATGTCAGACGTTCAGCGTCGCATTCCTGTAAGCCTAGAAGTTTGACAATGGCGTTTGGAACGTCAGTGGAATCATGCTCGACATTCCAAACTCCATTGTTAAACTTCTAGGCTTACAGGAATGCGGCGCTGAACGTCTGACGTACACGTTTTCCCGATGAAAACGTCGGCCGCAACCTCACTGTTAATTCTTTCAATGGTAACTTTATTGTTGATGTTCTTGCAGTCTTGCATTGTTTATCTTCTAACATTCTTCCAGAATTCATAATTTTTTAATATTGTAATTGTGATTAATATATTTTTTGTTTAAATATAGTGATTCTATAAATTATATTTTAAATATTTATAAATATTCCTACATTCCTTATGAAATATTGGCTTAAACTTAAAACACCTAAACTTGAATTGCAATGTATTTGAAGTTTATAATATTAAAATGCTAATTTATATGTATGTTTGAAAATCCAGACAGGATCCAACACCAATCACTCTGGACTTTCAAAACTTCAACACTAGTTACTTTTTAAAATTTAAACAAATTTATAATTACCTTTCCAATATCATCAGAACTAAGTTGTTTTTCAATATCAGATAACCAAATTTCTACATCTTCAACGCTTCTATTGAATTGCTGCTGAGCAGCTGCTTCGGCAAGCTTGTCACGTTTCCTTTTAGTAACTTCAACCAACATTTGCCATAACTGAACAATTTCTGTTAATCGTTGGCTAAAAGAATTTATAGAAATACACATTAATTTTTCTAATTTCTAAACAAACAAATATATGTAATCAAAATATAAAGCATATACATTTATGTCAATAAAATTTTTGTATGATTATATTCAGTAAACAGTACAAAAATGAAATTGAAAAATTGTATTTTTGTGCAATTTTCTTATTTTTATAAATATATTGTGGCTTAAAAAAATTGTCTTGACCAAACCCATGACAACCTTTTAACCAAGCCTATTGTGGGTTTGGTCAGGTGTAGAATGAGGTGGTCGGATGGCAAAGAGGGAACCTAACATATCCAGGACAAGCCACCTGTGAAAATTCTTTGGGGTTTTTCAATACCAGATTTAATCCTGAAGTCCCCAGAGCAGGAGGTAGACACCATAATCACTCAGCCATCCAGCTATCAAAAAACATTATTTTTAATAAGGATGAACTAGTTAGCCACTATGGTTACTGTACTTAGCCAAATTAATCAGTGCATCTTAACAGTAGGTAAAGTTTAAAGCATGCTAACATTTTTGAGTCAGTTAATGGTCAACCTTTAAGTGTCGACAGTTAAAAGTGTCCGAAGAAGAAATTATCATCATTTTGATAAGATATTAACAGCCATAATAATAATTTTTGTTTAAAATATTGCATTAAAAAATGATCAATATGACATGTAGTCACAATAATATATATATTATATATTATTGTGACTATATGTCATATATATATATATATTCCAGCACTAATATTTATTATTATTTACAAACATTTGGAAGATAGGAATGCTTTAGAAGAACATGTTGCTATCACATTCAATATAATCATTGGGGAATTGAGTTGGCTTTAGCATTTATCTCAAAGCAAACTTTAAGATTTCATTAGTAGACAAATAAATGAAAACATTCTTTGTCAGAATTAATCAGAAGAAGTGAATACTTTTAAGAATCAAGAACTTTCAAGAAACTTGGTAACTTTCTTGGTAACTTTCCAAGAATTGAGATTTCGAGAATAAGAAGTCAAATCACAGAACAACTTTGCACAATTTGTACAAAGCCCAAAATATATATAGAAACATTACCAATCACCTAAATAATCAAACTATAATTGGGTTATAGTCCAATTATTTAGGTGATCATTTGGTGATGTTTCTATATACATACTGGGCTTGCAATGTTTGTTATACTCATATATATACTTTGCTGAGTAAAACATTAGCTGGCTGAGTGTCGTTGTGGAGTTGTACTTAGGCCATGGGTCCCCAGCCAGCACCGTAATTAACCACATACGGTTATATCTAAATTTAAATACATCTGGAAGCGAAGGCTTACTAGGAGTCTGGGTGGCGCAACTAGCAAGCAGAGGTTGTGGGTTCAAGCACCCCGAATTAGTTCTTTTCTTCAAGATGGCTCTAAATTATTTAATAAATTGTTAAAAAATTATAATTATTAATTTAGCTAAAAGATGGCACCTAACATCTACCTCTAGTAGCAAATTACTTAATATTAATTATTAAATTAGCAATGTTATAGCCTAATTATTTAGATGATCATTTGGTATGCAATTAGAATGTATGACAGCAGTGGAGGACACTAGTTTTGAATACACAAAGTGGATTGTTTGCTGTGGTTGAGTTCACAAGAATCACATCTGAGAAAGTATTCAATTATCTGGCACAAATTCTTGGGAACAATAAGAATGTTTTGCAATCAGATAGTTCTCAATTCAAATACTTTCACCTTTAGCAGAATTCACTTTAGATTAATTCGATTAAGCCTTGTAATAAAACTTTTTACTCTTGTAAAAGTAATTTTACTCTAAAAATGTATATAACTGTGTGTGACACATATCTGGTTTAGTTTAAAAATAGAAAAGAAACTGTTCAAAACAAAACAAGCCTGAAATAAGCAGTGCAAATTTTCTACTTTTACCATACTTTACTTTGAATATTGAATTTTGTTAAAAATTTTAAAATAAAATTACTTTCTTACATAGATATATCGTAAAACATTTTTTATAAATTAAACAATTCTTTTATTACCCGATTCTTTCCGAAGCAAAATGATGTGTTTCAGTAAGTTCTTGTCCTGTACTAATTATTTCGTCGATCCTGTTTTTATTTGCATTAAGTTCTTGTTCAAAATTTTGATGCTTTTGGAGTTTACCACTGATGTTACTTGTATCCTAATTGAAAATCAGAACATCAGAAATCATTGCATTATTAATAATATATGATATAATTTAATTTAGTTACTCACTGTTGTAAAACTTTCATCTGTAGCCAATTTTAATTTTTCGTTAATCCATCCTTTTGTTTCATCACAGTCACGCTCAAAGTGTTGAAATCGATATGAATCCTCTAACATTGCTCTTCGAAAAGCCGATTTGTCTAACAAATTACCTCGCCGTTCTAAAAGCTTGAAAGGATAGTAGCAATAACTAATGTATTAGATTTTAAATGCATAACAAATTACATTATCTAGTTAAACAAAATTCAAATTTTTTATTCAGCAAATATTTAAATGCATTACCATTTCTCTTCTGTGTGCTACATCATCAGCAGCATAATGCTGTCCTTCAATCAATTTAGTTGCAAATTCATCCAATGCCTATTAAATAAAAATATTTTAAAATAGAAGAAAAAAATTGTAATAAATGAATGTGACACAAAAGTAAACAAAGTGAGTTCCGAGAGAAACTCCAACATGTGTTAAGCAATAGATCAGTGTCAGGCCGAAGAGTTTGAACTTTGACACTGACACTCGTATACAAATGATTGAAGTCAAACTAAGTCGGGAAACAAGGAGGTTTGACGAAAGAAAACATCGTGTTCGACAGTTAACATTCCAAAATGTCAGAATAGAGAATATAATGATCAAAAATACAAACACAGGCTTCAAAGTTCCATCAACATTTCCAGATCAGAGTCGAGGGATGATGTCAAGTTGAAAACCTAAGATCGACCTTTCTCATGACCTGATCCAATCTTATTTTCACCTGGAAACAAGGAAGGAGAACAATCAAGAAACAATGAGAGGGAATCAAAACAAATTGGAGAAGAAAATTCGGGATGAAATTCCTTAAATAACCCAGATTTCAAGAACAAAGCATGGATTTCTGTCATTTTGTATGGTCCAAAGTGACTCATGTCTCTCTCTTTATTTTGTGCAACATTATCCTTCATCCGCCAGACTTAATCAAGACACAGCCCCAGGGCCATCAACACCTATGAACCATTTTTGAGACAAGTGGGATTCACCACAAACTTTGATAAAGTGATACCCAATTTGAGAAAGTGTAAACCCATCTTATATAAAATAAATGTGATTCATTTGTAAAGGTATCTGAGTAAGTGTGTGTCCACCACTACCCACATGCAGTTCTAAACCTCTAATTCATCCTAACGCAAATTTAACTAGCTCCCCCTTTCTGGATCGGCAAACCTCACATAACTGATGCACCAGTGACTGATTTAACAAGCTTTTACTGGAATGCCTGGCAACATCACAAGATGACAAAACAAAAGGCACTACATTGGCATTTGCAGATTTATTTAGTCAAAAAAACTCTGAGTTAATACAGATAAATACTAAAAATGGTGTTAATCATGTAATGATGGAGGCAGACATAATGCTTCATCAGAAATCACCATATCCATAGCCTGATTAGTACAATGTACATCAGTTGCTGCACCAACAAACTTGTTGGTGAATATTAGAATGCATCTTAGTAAATAATGGTTCACTGATGTGCTGTTTTTAATGCATACCGGAATGTACCCAATACCCAATAAAAAAAACTTGTTAGGAAACTATCAATGAAACTCTTTTCAATCATAAATCATAACTTTAAAATACATTTAAGAAAATAGTTTTACAAAAATCTTTTAAAAACAGTTACATTTTTTAATATAATTGAAGATTTACCTTAATTTTTTCTTCCTGAGCAGCTAGTGATTTCTCAAAATCTTCGTGCTTCTTAATAAGAGCTTCAACAGAATCTAAAGAGTCACCCAGATCGTCGTTTGCAAGGAATGCCTGGAATATAAATTATATAGAAATTGTATTATTCAAACATTACAGTATTCACATCATCTGCTTAATGACTATTCTTGAATTTTGAAGAATTGAGTTTTTTCAATAAAATGTAAAATATTTTATAATTTGATATATATACATAAATTAATTAATGTAAGTATTATATCCCTACAAGTCCTACACTGATTTACCTATTGTTCAGACTAGTCAAAGGGTTTAAAGGAAAGATAGACAAATAGACCAAATTTTTCAGAGTACTCTGTAGGCACTTGCAGATAATATAAGCTATCATAAAACCTCAACATTCCCTGAATTCATCCCCTTGACACTTTGTGAAAATTTAATTTTAATGCATTATTATATAAGTAAACATTCCAAAATAATTAATAAACCACATGGTCCATGAGTGATATTCTTTCAACAACAAAAACTGAGCATATGTAATTAAGCACTAAAATAACCATCTCCAGCAGCAATTGCAAAAATATATAAAAACAAACATTTCCTCTCATGTTAAACAGTCATCATCAGGCTAAAATACCTTCAAAGACCTAATGGAATTGATAAAACAAACAGTTCAGCTGCATTCAATGTTCAAAGTGTCTTTTAGCCCAACGATGACTGTTTAACATAGGAGAATATGTTAGCATTTATACATTTTTGTAATTCCTGATGTCCTTAATCATATACTTAGTGATAATTTCAAACAGTATAGTGTCTTCTTCTGGATTTGGAAGCTTTGCTGAAATAACACTGTTGATTTAACTTGGCTTAACATAAGCAAACTTTTAATATGGTTTTAATTTTAATGTTTGTCCTTATAACTGTTTGCATGGGCAATNTCTGCTAATATACTATAAAAATTCGGATGTAAAAAATTTAATACTTAAATTCCTATATTACACTTGATCTACTTTTAAGTTACTTATCATTAAAAGTCAAAAGTCACATATAGTGTATAATGTTGGTGCTTTATTCCCACATGCAGTTGTCTGTGATCAGTCTTTGGTTGTATATGTGGGAAGCAGTTTTATCCAAATAGCACCTGCAGAAGACAATATATTATGTCTTTCTAGAACTGAACATTGGAAATGATCGTGCTGTTTACTGTTGCTTATTGAAGTTTAGTTGTTAATTACATAAGGAGACAAGTAAGGACTCATGCTTTGAAACTGTCAGCTTTGTCTAGTGTCTTTGTGTCTCTTCAAAAATTGTTGTGATCTGATAAAATGTAGCAAAACTGCACAAACACTAAATTTTGGACTGGATTTATTATCCTGACAGAAATAATAATATGACATAGACCATACATGTTTTAATTTCTACATCTATACTAATATTATAAAGAGGTAGTGTTTGTATGTAAGTAAGTTTGGATGCAGCAGGTAATCTCCAAAACTACTCATCCGATTTCAAAAATTTTTTCACCAATATTTAGAATGGAACTTCAGGATGGACATAGGCTGTATATTATTCCGTCAAACATGGGGGATGGACAGTTCTTTACGGTAAGCCTTCCCCGTAAGGCTTACCATAAAGAACTCTGCTTCTATTTATACTATTTTAGATGCGGTTTTTTGCATTTTTGATTGCGTTTTAATAAAGTACATCAACAGAATGTACACAAAGAAGGGATTTTTCGATATTCCCCCGGAGGGAGAGGGACAGGATTAAGGCTTACTGTGAAGAACTTCACTTCTATTATACTATTTTAGATGCGGTTTTTTGCGTTTTTGATTGCGTTTAATTAGAGTACGTCAAAAGAATGTACACTAATAAAAAATTTTTCGAAAAATTTTCCCCCACGGGGGAAGTGTTATACATTTATAATAGATACATTTTGAGCCACAACAAGGCGTGGCGGGGTCTGCTAGTTTTGAATAAATCGAAAGTTGATGACTGGCCGTGTTTCGACCCAACCGTCGTAACGATGTTGCCAACGGTGTAAATAAATAAATGTACGCGTCGGATTTCACCCCTCTGACTGACACTGTTCGAATTCCTCTAACAAATACTTCCACGCCTGTGCAAGCGTTTCACCATCCTTGTAGTTGAAGCAGTTGCCCCCCCCCCTGATAGCTTTATGAATCTCCCAGGCCTTCAGGTGACGGATGTGATCCGTATGGAACGCTAGTCTGATAAGTCTGGTGTTCCAAAAGTCCGCCTTTATTTCAGGGTCGGTGATGTAGGTCGATAAGGCGGTGGTGTGTCTTTTATGTTTAATATCAGCTTGGTGTTCATGTATTCGTTTCTGTGTTGACCAGATGGTGGAGCCAATATAAACTAAGTCCCTATTGAATCTGTCGTCCCTGATGGGAATGGAGTAAACACCTGGGGCCCTGGTGAGATCCATCGCATCCTTGGCATTGCGTAGCAGGTCGTAAAGCATGCCAGTTCTTAAGTACGCGATTTTGGTGCGGCTGTTGCTTGCGATCTCCCTATATAGGGGGTCTAAATGCTGGTTGAACCAGACGACCCCGCGTCTAGCGTTCCTATCTGGTTGTCGGTTGTTGTCCAGCGATGGTAGGGGGCAGTCCCTGTGGCAAGGGGGCGGCGGGTGCATCTATTTGTTCGAGGAATTCGAACAGTGTCAGTCGGAGGGGTGAAACCCGATGCGCACATTTATTTATTTACACCATTGGCAAAAT